GTAGCGTGCCTTGAATGGCTGTGCCCTGCCCCCTTCCATCCTGTCTCAGTGGCATATAGCAGAACGGGGTGGGGTGGAGTAATGCTTCTTTTTTGAGCCCCATTCCATTGGAGAAATCCAGGTACAGCACCCCACTGTATTCTTACCTTGCAGAGGTTGGTATAGCTGGTTAAGAGGTGGGCACCAAACCTTTCCTAACTCTTGGTTCATGGATATTCCTGTCCAGTCTCTGTATCATTTGCTGCGATGGCGACGAGAGAGGGGCTAGCCAGGCATGGCTGTCCTGCCTCCCTGGAGCCCCAGAGATCCTGAAAAGCCAGCTGGAGCATTTTCTCCCTGCTCTGAGTCTCTGCAGTTTGCATCCTTTAGAAAGATCCCAGATACCTCTCCTCTCCTCTCCTCTCCTTAGAAGACCTTGGAGGGAAGTTTTCCATGACAATTCAATGCATGATTTTTTCCTCACACGGGCAGGATGTGACAGAGACTTCCTCGTTTTGTTCTGTCCATCTTGGTTTTTATAGCAAAGGGCAGAGCAAGTAGCGTGTGTCTTAAGGAGGAAGGTGGGTGGGTAATTCTGTCACAGAGGAGCTGGCCTCTGTCAACCGTGCTGCCAGCCTGTCTAGGGGACCTTCACAGCTGGAACCAGGATACTTCACAATTGTCCCCCTTGCAGGGAGTTGAAATCAGCAGGATTCATCTGCTATTTCAGACCCTTTGCTGCTACCTTCCAGGTATGTGTGTGGCTCATTCTCAATGCCTGTCTAAACCTCCACCTTTCAGATATAGGATGCAGAAAATGAGGGCTAACTAAGGATCTTGAGAGCACAAGATGGATTGGCAGTATCTTATCAGCTGAGCCTGGCTGCAGGACAGGGTGTGACCAAGGGGAGATGCCCATTCAGGCAGCTGCATCTGAAAAGGAAGGATTCCGACCTGTTCCATTTGCCCTTCAAGCTATCTGAAGCCTCACGGAGGGTCCCTCCTGGGGGCAACTTATCTCCCTTAGAGACTAGAGGTGAAAACCCTCTGTAGGTCTTTTAAAATCAAACCAGAGCAAGCCAGTGAGCATTAATTGACAGTTTGTGGAGGGCAGAGCATTGCAGCAGGTGCTGGAAGGGAAGCGGGTGCAAGAGTGCAAAAGCCCTACCTCGGGGAGCTTGCAGCTTAGGACACAGGGAATGGGACAAGGGCGACGCACACACACACAGCCCGGGCTTGCAAAAGTAACAAAAGCCAAAAAAAAAAACGTCTTTAAAGAGAGACTCAAGAGCTAAGGGACTGGAGATCAAGAGAACACAAGCATTGTTAGGAATTAGAGCAGCAAGAGGAGAAAACTGGAGTGGAGTTGGAGCGGGGTCAGGGAGAAGTTGAGAAGGAAAGAAGAAGGAAGAGGAAGGAGGCTTGAGAGGATGGTGTCCGCATTCCAGCAGCATTTCTTTGACATCAGCACGCATGACCTTATTCCTCCTTGTGTCTTCAGAGGCTCCCTGGAGAGGAGGGAGCATGCGCCCCTCCAGCAAAGCCTAGCTCCAGCCTGAGACCCCAGTCCTCTCCATCCTTCCCTCATCTTCCCCAGATATGCAACGTGTTCAGCTTCTCACCGTTCAGGGCAAAACCTCCCCATCAGAAAAAGAGTCTGAAATCCATTTACACGGCGGTGCGAATAGCTAAAATCAGAAGGGGTTTCCCCTCTGAGGAGTAAGGATCAGAGCCTTTCAACTGCAGAGGGAGGTTGGAAAAGGCAGGCTTCAGGCAGCAAGTGGGGAGGAGGGTGCCCTTTAGAGCAGGAAGGGGCACACAGCCCCTCGGAAGTCCCTTCAGACCGTCTCCCTCCAAGACTTTCAAAACTGGTCTTTGAGTGTTGGAAGAAAAGGGACAACGAGGCACTCTTTCCTGCCTGAGAAGACGCTGTCGACGAGATCTGAGCGAAACCCGGTTTTAAGTTGTTCTATTGGAAGTGGATTTTTTTTCCGATTTTTTATATTACTTTATTTTATTGGGGACGGGGAGGACGCAGGCCACTGCTTCAGTGCACGTGAGATGCTGTAAGAGCGAGCACAGGAGCCTGGGAGCAGGCGGGCTGCCTAACAGGGGTCACGGTCTGGGGGGCAGGAGGACTGAGGGTGCACCCAGGCTTGACCCACAACACAGCTGGTGAGAAATCTGTATCCAGCGAAGCGCAGAGTTTGGGAGGAACCCCCACTTCACCACCTTCTCGCTGGGTGTGCAGGGCAAGTCACCGGGCGCCCCCATGTCTCTGTAATTTGGACCTATGATAATAGTGATAATAATTCTGATATGGGTAAGTGCTTGGCAGATAGTAAGTGCTCAATTTGTGTTAGTTTTTATTACTGTGGGTACAAGCATGTGTGCGTGCGTGCATACTTATGCCCTCCTCCTCCTGCACTGTCAGTGACTGATTTCAGTGACTGAAATCACATGGGTGTATCACAGCGGAGAACTGCAGTCCTGAAAGTAATTGCAGGGTCTGGGACACACTGACTGCCTTTTTTTTGAGTTATAGTCAGCTTACAGTGTTGCGTCAATTTCTGGTGTACAGCACAATGCTTCAGTCATACATGAGCATACATCTATTCGTTCTCATATTCTTTTTCTCATGAGCTACTACAAGATATTGAATATAGTTCCCTGTGCTATACAGTATAAACTTGTTTATCTATTTGATATACACCAGTCAGTATCTGCAAATCTCAAACTCCCAGTTTATCCCCCACCCCCCTGGCAACCACAAGCCTGTGTTCCATGTCTGCTAACACAAGTCTTGACCAATTCCTCCAAGTCCAGGTGATCCAGAAGGATCCAGACACACTCTCTGAGCCCTGCTGTTTAGGAAGGCATTCGCTACGCTGTTACTGATATACCCTTATGGCTTCACCGTCATGGTCCAGAAGCAAAGACTGAGGCGCAGAAGAGGAGAGAAGGGAACAGGGAGAGAGAAAACATACATCCAGTGTGGACCCTCTGCCCTGGGCTCTTCTGCTGCCAGTTTCCAGGCTTGTCGCCAACACATCCCTGCCATCAGCCAAGAGGGCAGGAGGCTAGATGGTCCAGCTGGAGCCTAGGCTCTGGCCCAAGGCACCTGTTCTGCTGGTTATTGCCTGAACAGTGATCCCCAAAAAACAAAACAGCCAGGTTCCCTTCAGATGGGACTCCGAGCTCCTCCCTGAGAGGCCCTATCTGAAGCACGGATGGGGCCTCCCCAACTTGCCCCTCTGCCCTCCCACCTGGGTGTGAGCTCCAGGGGGGCCCACAGCTCCCCGGCCCACTGAACTCACAGGCCATTGTCCCACCCTCACGCTGTGGTCTTGTCGGCCAAGGTCCTTCCAGCTCCGGGATCACTCAGGGAGCCTCCCCTCCATCAACTCACCCACGCACCTTCTCAGACCTTGGGCTGCATAACCCAGCAGTGGCTTTTAAAGTCCTGCACCTACACCCCACTGGTGATACTGCCGATGGCACAGGACCCCAGGAACCCATGCCGCCTCACCGGTCTGCGGGAAAAGGAAAACCAAACAGTGGAGTGGGGTGGCAGACGGAGGGAGAAGGGAGATGGAGGGGTGGGTAGCTGCAGAGTAGAAACTGCCCCACGGCAGGCCTTTCTGCTCTGGGGGTGCTGTGATGGAGTGAAAGGAGAGGGATACAGTCTCTGGAAGGAGATGGAGAGCAGAGAGCAGGTGTTTGGAAGATGACGGCAGAGAGAGGAGCTGACTTTTCTTTAAAGAGCACCCAGCCAACCCATGGGAGGCTTATTAACCCTCTGAGCCAAGCTGGCTCCTTCCATTGTTCTGGCAAAGAAATCAAGGTTCAGCAAGTTACACAAAGTCCTACAAGTGAATAGAGGAGGAATGTCAAGCGGCTTGTATGTCTGCCAAGATGCCTCAGCTCCCCGGGCTCCCTGGCCCTCAGACTGGGAGGCATTACTGCAGGTCCCAAAGGGGCATCAGGAGTGAAGGGACAGCCCTTGTGTGCACTGGGGCTGGGCTCTTGGACCACAGACTGGGCATGGGGAGGGCTAGATGGGATGGCTGCATCACTGTGGCCTCAGAGATGCTACTGACTCATGGACAACCACCAGCTGACCTCCTGGGGGCTCTACCTGAGGTCTCAGGGCTGGAGGAAAATATTCTAGGTGTGGTTAAAGTTAAAAGGCAGTCAGGCATGCATCCCACTTCGGAAAGATTAGAACTCTGTGTATGTTCCTCTCTTTTGTGGACCTGATGTTCCAGGTCAAAGGGAAGTGGGAGCAAAGAATGGAAATACATCTGGGAGTCCTTATAGATTTCCCTTTGTTTGAGCAAAGTCACTCAGTCCCAGCTCAGCCCCTACACAATGCGTGGCTCTATTCCTGGCTCCCAAACAATGGGAAGCTCAGAAGCTGCTTCCTCTGGGACCCTTTGGCCTTGTCCTCTCACAGCTCTGTGAGTCCAAGCAAAGCCAACAACACCATGAGCAGGGCCACCTGTTAAAATGAGAAGTGGCTTTCGTATCTGGCTGTTATTGAAAAGAAGCCAGGCGCTGGAGCTTGTAAGCACCGGACAAAAATAAAAATCACTGAGGCAATGACAGGCATCCAATGACCTGATGCTTGGAGTTCCAGCTCCCCTGTGTCACTCCCAGGACCTCTTTGTCCCTCTAACAGGTGGCCCCCACCGCTGAAGAAAATGGTGGCTTTCCCAGTCTTCCTGGACTCCTACCAGCAAGTACGGCTGTCCAGCAGTCTCGTCTTCCTCGCTCACCTCCTCCTCCTCCTCCTCCTCCAGCCGGGGGAGGTGAACTCAGGTAACATGTCCAGTCGGCAGCCCAGCCAGCCAGGATGTGAGCACCTCAGCTTCTGCCCAACCCTCCTACAGGGGTTCCCAGGGCTGAGGTCTCGTAGCCTCATACCAGGCTGTGCCTGCGGCTAAAATACAAGATTGCCACCCCAGGTATTAAAGAGCCCCGGCCCCTGAGTCCCATCCAGCCCCACAGTGCTCCTCCGCCATCCCTCCAGCCACCACAGCCCCACAGATCACAAGCATGTCAGACGGCATGGCAGGAGGGTGCCAGAAAATTCTTATTGGTCTGTGTTTAGGCTGAATTTGTTGGAAAGAATTTTTTAACTCCACTCCTGCATATAAGCCATAGCTTTGGAAAGGCAACAGGGACCCGTCTTTTTTTTTTTTAATTGAGTTATAGTCAGTTTACAATGTTGTGTCGATTTCCAGTGTTCAGGACAATTTTTCAGTTATACGTGAACATACATATATTCACTGTCGCATTCTTTTTCACCGTTAGCTGCCACACGATTGAGGGACCCCTGTCTTACAATCCCTCATGAAAGAAGCAATTAACAGAGAGTGTAAACTTACTATGCAAATGCAATTCCCCAAGTCCCTGAGCTGGAAAGCAGGGATACCAAGGTGACTAGGCACAGTTCAAGACAGGAGGACGGACATGACATAACCGCCTATCCAGCTGTGTGACCAGGGCGGCGAGAAAAATGTACCCAAAGATTTGGGAGCACAGCTACTAGACCAATTTGTTTTCTCCAGAAAAGCCAAGAAGGGCCATGGAGAGGAGGTGCTATTTGAGTAGAGCCTTGCAGGATGTAGATTCTCTGGAAGATGACAGATGAAGAGTAAACTGAGGCAAGGTGTGCCCAGGAAGTGGGCCAGCCGTCAGGTGTGGGGGCAGCAACAGATGGAGAGAACCTGGAGAGGGAAGCTGGTAGGAAGGGTGTCGGGTCTACACCGAGTGGCCAACAAGGTGTCTCAAATGGAATGAACAAAGAAAGGAGCCCCCATGCTGTATGGGCAGAGTGAAGGATGGGAGGGATTCATGGAGGAAAAATTTGGGATAAGGTTAAGCTGAGCTTTGAAAGAAGGAAAGGGGGTGCCCAGAGGCCAGAGGGAAGAACGAAGATGTGCCAGGTGGCAGGGAACAGCATGTGCAAAGGCACTGCTGCAGGAATAGCAACTCTCATAGGAATTGCAGGAAACAGGGAGCAGAGGAGCCATATGGAGACATCACTGAAGAGGATGATCAAATGAAAGATCCTGGTGATAAAAATCTCGAAGGCAAGATTTGGCCTTGGATAGGAAAACCCATGAAGCAAGAAGCTCCCTGCAGATTATTTGAATACCCTTTGTTATCACAGAATCTGTCCGTGTGCATTATATAACATTAGAAAATCAGACAAAGCAAAAATGGGAACACATCTATACCCACCACATACACAAATTATCACCATCAACAATTTTGTCTATCTCCTTTCAAATCTTTTGTTCTGTACATTTATGCAAATATGTCATTTTTTAAATCAAGTAAGAGCATAGTGTACCTATGGTTTTGAAATTTACTTTTTTTTTTTTTTTTGCCAGAGATTCAATTTCATTTGATGCCCTGGCCATATTTACATAGCTGTCCCCAAAATACTGTTGGAAGCCGGTTGGTTCAAACCAGCTACCAGTCCAGAACTACAAATTTCCTTGTGTATTTTTCTAATGTGGCACATTCAATTTTTTCATGACAATTACTTGTTCAAGAAACGTGACCGGCTGTCCTGTAGAGTATCTCACCTTTGTCATTTGCATGGTTTACTGTAGATTTCCGAGCTGCAATAAAACATATTTGAGGAGAGCTGATTTTGGCCATTGTCTGGGTTCTCGTCCTAGAGAACTTCACGGTGGTAGGCCCTGGGGAATTCGTCCTGGCGTACGTCGGGGATGAGGTGGAATTCCCGTGTCACTTGTCGCCGTACCTGGACGCCGAGGACATGGAGATCCTCTGGTTCCGCAGCCAGGCCGCTGACGTGGTGCACTTGTACCAGGGGCGTCGGGAGCTCTACGGCCAGCAGATGGCGCAGTACCAGAACAGGACCGAGCTGGTCAAGGACGACATCGCCGACGGCAGCGTGAGCCTGCGCCTCCACCGCGTCACCCTCGAAGATGAGGGTACATACGGGTGTTGCTTCTCCTCCGGCGACTTCTCCGGGGAAGCGATCTGGGAGCTGGAGGTAGCAGGTGCGTGACTTGGTCAAGCCCCAGAGGAGAGGAGAAAAGTGTCCATTTGGATAGAGCTTAAGAGGAGACAAAGAAGGGTGGGTATAGCTCAGTGGTAGAGTGCTTGCTTAGCAGGAGCAAGGGCCTGGGTTCAATCCCCAGTATCTGCGTTAAAGGAAAAAAAAATTAAGAAACAAACAAGAAAAGATAGAGAAATATAGAAAAAGGGAAAATATCTCTAATAAAAAAAACTATCAAAAGGAAAGGTTTTTTTAGAAAATGAACAAACGAAACGCTCATAAAGAAGATACACAAATGGCCCTTAAATGTATGAAAGATAATTACTTTTACTCATAGCGAGATTTTACTCATAGTGAGAAAAAGACAGATGAAAGCTACAGAGATGCAATTTTTTTCACCCATCAGATTGGCAAACATTCAGCTGTTGGACCACACACTCTTGATGGAGGTGGAAGGAAGCAGGCCCTCTCCTACCTTGCTGATGGAGTTCAAAGTTCCGAAGCCCCAGAAGCCCCAGTGCAGGGGGATTTGGCAATAGCTACCAGAAGTGCCTGTATCTTGACCCTCTGAGCGACAATCCCACCTCTAGGAGCTGACCCTGACGATACACCTCCCACAGCTCCAATATGGAAAAGACATATATGTATAAGTTTATTTTTGTGGCATCATTTGTCATTGTACTACAGTGGAAACTCCCTAAATGTCCAAGCTTAGGTTCCGAGTATGGTCCATCATATGCCGCTGAAGAAATGGGCATGAGCTCTAAGCTGATGTGGAATGATTTCTAGGATGTTTTAAAGACACAAAAGATGCAAAGGAAGTTCTACAGCATGTTAGCTTTTGTGTAAGAAAGGAGGAGAAACACTTCACAAAAGAAACACAGGAAGGATAAACTAGAAGCCAATGAAAGGGGATGGAAAGGATGGAGAAAGGCCTGGGGCTTTTTCGATAAACTTTTTAAAGTTTTATTCTTTAAACAATTTAAACATACTAATATTCTGCACATTCCAAATATAAAGCTAGCTCCATTTGGATAGAGAGGTAAAGAAGTATATGCAACAAAGGGACTTAAGCTCTGGTGGAATTCAAGAGAGAGAGGACAATCTGTTGAAATTTGTGGTGCTTGGTGGGATTTTTCTTCATCCTAGGGCCACTGTCCCTTACATTATATGACTAAATACCAGTAGCTCTTCCTGGCCAAATGGCCCCCTCCTTATTTCCAAATGCCTTTCAGAAGTAGTCATGTCCCCCACATGCCACCAATGATGTAGGCTGTCAGTTATAATCCATAGGTGGAGGGCTGCCAGCCCACACATGTGTTAAGAGCAGTCACAGTCATGATGCCTAATGGGTGACTGCAAACGGTGCATGGTGGCGTGAACTTCACATACAACTTCTGGGAAGGAGTCTGACCTTACCCACTCCTCCTGTCTCTCACAGGGCTGGGCTCGGACCCTCATATCTCCCTTGAGGGCTTCAAAGATGGAGGCATCCAGCTAAGGTGCACTTCCAGTGGCTGGTACCCCAAGCCGCAGGTTCAGTGGAGAGACCATCAGGGACGCTGCCTGACTCCGCAGACTGAAGCCATTGTCAAGGATGCCCAAGGCCTGTTCAGGCTGGAAACATCTGTGATAGTCCTAGAGGGGACCCACAACAACGTGTCCTGCTCCATCCAGAACTCCTTCCTGGGCCAGAAGAAAGAGTTTGTGGTCCACATAGCAGGTCAGTGGGTGCCAGCTCACCTTCATCTTCCCAGTCTTCAGGTCCTCGGTGTCCATTACTCCAAAGGCCATCTACTGGGATACAGTGGCACGAGGGCCTGGCTGTGTGTGGGTAGACTAAACTTGACCCCTGAAAATTCAGCAATGACATCAGGAACCTCCTGAGAGTACCGCTGACAACCCACACAGTAATTGGAGGAGGCCTCAGAAAGCCAACATTAGGAGCCAAAGGCTATGTGCTAAAATCAAGAAACTACTCACTAGATGTCATTACGAGAGCCCAGGCATTCCTAATTTTGTCCCTCAGACAATATTTACTGAGCACTCCCAATGTTCCCCAAACCCCTGAGCTCAGGTTCCCATTCCAGTGGGGGAAATAGACATACAAAAGAATAAATTAGGAGGGAGGGGATAGCTCAGTGGTGGAGCACGTGCTTAGCATGCACGAGGCCCTGGGTTCAATCCCCAGTACCTCCATTTAAAAGATAAATAAATAAATAAATGTACTCATCTCCCCCCTCAACAAACAAACACACACACACACATAAGAGTAAATTACACTCACCGTGAAAAAGAACGTGACAACGAATGTATGCACGTTCATATATAACTGAAAAATTGTGCTCTACACTGGAATTTGACACAACATTGTAAAATGACTATAACTCAATAAAGAAATGTTTATATATATTTAAAAAAGAGTAAATTACAGCACACCTTAGAGGGTGTTAGGTTAGGTGAGAGCAAGAAACAGGAAGCAGACAAGAGTGCTCAGGTGGGGCAGGGTGTACATATGGGTTTCAGAGTGGTGGATCAGGGAAGACTGCTAGGCAATGAGTTGAAAGTGAGGACATTATCTAAGATGAATGTTCTCTTATGAGGCACCCCTGCCCCCTGAAGGATTTAGCGTTCATGGCTCCAACTGTTTCAAGTCTTGAGGATAAACCTAACAAATGGGCCGTGTTTCACATTGGCCCAAATCAACAGTTAATATTATCACAAAAGAAAAATAAAATCTCACCCTTATAAATGATAACTTGTTCTCAGGTAAGAAGACTTGGCAGCACCACGTGTCACACACAGTTCACCCAAAAGTCACCTGGTAATTGGGTAACTGGTAACATCTATGTTAGCTAATTGTATTTATCCAAAGGAGAAATAGGACATCTTGTATCTCCATGACGAGCGTATAATTATGACCTGGAACCAGGTGCCTAAGCGAAACTCCCAGGAGACATGGAGATAGGGTTGCTTTCTCCCTGATGTTTCCATTTCAAAGAGATGGCTCCGAGCTCCTTAAGAAAAGTATTCCTGGGTTGTAAAGCTGGCAAGGGGCTTAGCTTTCAAAAAGATTTATATACATCTCAAGAAGATACAGAAAGAACTTAACAAGTTTCCTAAAGGAAATACTCTAAGAAAAGGGAAAGGGGCATCTCTTTCCCTTTTTGCACCAGAGGAAATCCAATTTTTAGATTTGTTCTTATCCTTGGTAAAAAGTGTGGGTCACCTGGTTATAAGCAGGGAGGCCATTCAGGTAGAGGCCCCTCTGGTAGAAGGGACAGCAAGTGCAAAGATCCTGAGATGGAAATGTGTATAGCTACTGGAGGAGCTGGAAGAGTGCAGGACAGGCTGGAACAGAGGGATAAAGTGAAGATTGCAGATCAGGGAGCCATAGGTCCCTGAGCTCTTTAACCCCTAGGTCAGTGCATCTGTGGTGAAGGACCAATCCTTTGTGGCCCAATACTTTTGACCAAGACAATAAAAATGCAGTACCAGAAGAATAAAATTAAAAAACAAAAGAACACATTATGTTAAGTGAAATAAGCCAGACACAAAAGGACACACATTGTATGATTCTCTTTATATGACGTACCCAGAATAGCAAGTCACAGAGAGGGAAAGTAGGATAGAAGTTTCTAGGGACTGAGGGTCAGGGGAATGAGGAGTTAGTGTTTCATGAGCACAGAGTTTCAGTTTGGGAAGATGAAAAAAGTTATGGTGGTGATGGATGCACAACCATGTTAATGTCCTTAATGCCACTAAATTATAAGCTTAAAATGATTGATAGTAAATTTTGTGTTATGTATATTTTACCATGATAAAAAAAATACAAAGAAAAAAGAATTTTAAAGACCACTGAGATAAAAGCACCGATTTCTTATAATTACCTTCAACAGACACAAAAATATTCTACTAAATGGCCACAAGAGTTTCTAAAGGGTTACTCTCCATTTTTGCATTATATCTTTACTGTCTGACCACTGTCCTTGCAAGCCTTGTGCCACATTCTGCAAGAATCGGGGAGATGACGTGTAGATTCTTCAGAGCTAGTAGGCAGCAACGATTCACTGGGTTTCAGATATCAACCCCTTGGGCTCTTATGTCCTTCAGATGTAAAACAAGAGTGGGAAGAAACAGAGGGAGGTCAGGGCTGTGGCCACAGACATTCCAAGCTGGAGAACTGGGCGGGGCCCAGTTCCTTTCCTTTCGCATCCTTCAGTTTGCAGTACTCTCCCCTTTGCACTAGCAAGTTCAAGTCCTCCTCTGTTCCCTGGGTGCCACTTCCCCAGGGCACTGCACAGTAGCTCTCATGCCCATTTTACAGATGGCTAAGGTAGGGGCCCAGGAAGGACCCAACTGATCACTCGAAAGCTTTTCTGGCACTCAGTATCCAAACTACTCTTGTCACTTAGTGTGTAGTGATGACTAAATCAAGACAACTCTATGTGGGGTGTTTTGCAGATGTATTTTTACTCAGAACATCCCTCTGGAAGAGCATTTTCTTCGGGACTCTGGTGGGACTGCTGCTCCTCCTGGCTCTCCTCACAATACTGGCGCTGTGCTTCTTTGAGAAGCAACGGAGGTCTCAAGGTACCGGGCAGGCGTGGGGGCCGTCCTCCTGGAGCTGGCTTTGCCCAGGAGGGAAGTGGTGGCGGTGGTGGCCATAGTGGGGCACCGCGGAGGGTCCATTCTGCCTGGAGGCAGGGCTGGAAAGGGGCACGGAAACAGGCAGGGGAGTCCACACATTCAAACCTGCTCCCCTTCTTTCTTTCAGAAAAGCTGAAGAAGCAGGCAGAGAAAGACAAAGGTAAGCAGGGGGAAAGGCGCACCCTTCACCCCCATCCCTGCCCAGCAGATATGGGGACACCGGGTGAGGACGTGTAGGTCACACTGGACGGCTTGTGAGCAGGGCACAGAGAGGGTGCGGCAGAGGTTTTCCTCCACTTCTCCTGCCTCACAGCCCACTTCTCCTGCGCGTCCAACTCTGACTCGTTCTCCTGAGCACACGGGGCTCCCAGTCTGTGCATTTGGGGGAAGCAAGGCCTTGATTGATGGGGCTTTTCCGCTTCTCTTCATTTCTTTCTCCAGGAAAACTCACAGCTGAGCTGGATAAGCTCTGGGTGCCGTGCCCACAGTGGTGGCTGTGGGCTAGTGGGGTAATCCAGAGCAGATGTGGTTAAAAAAAAAAAAAAGGTCAGAGATTTTAGGAGCCCTTTGGAGAGCAATGGGTGGCAATGATCTAATTTTAAGTCCATCCCCGCCTGCTGTTCCACTCCCAAACGGGCCTGTGCATACCTGCCAAGGATGCCTGACCGAAGACCCTTTGGATAGACTCTGCCAGGCCCTCCTCTGCAAATTATATGATTCAGTTACAATTCCACCATTACAGGTCTACACCCTCTGGTTCATCTTCCTAGGGTGTCCTCTTTTTAATGCAAGTGTTACTGGAATGATGGTATCTTTAATTTGCACCAAAGTGAAAGTAATTTATCCAATCCGCGTTATGCCCCAGGGACTCAGCACCCCGAAACCATGAGGGGAGCAGGAGGGAGTGAATCCAAAGGAAGAGGGGATGGAGGAGAAGGCCACCATGGGTTGGGGAAGACCTCAAGAACCACCTTGCCTGCCCCAGTAACACTCCAGACAAAATAGTGAAGTTGGAGAAGACTGTCTTGCAGTCTACCTGGTCAGGCAGGGGAAAACAAACAGACGACAAAACCAACCAACCAACCAACAACAACAAAAACAGTCATAATAAGTCATTAACACCATAGTCCGAATTAGTGTATAGTGCTGCCTCTCCTAGGAGAACTATTAAAAGAGGAAGTAGAGTGAAGAAATCAAAGGAACGCATTTCTAATAGCAAAATATCAGTCTTGGTATCGGCCAGGGGAAATAATTGAGTGGGATGTCCTCCCAGTTCCTTACATAATACACCCAGAAAGTGACCCTGAGGCTCACACAGGGTGTGCTCCGTGCCTGGACTTACGCAGGACTTCCTCCCCAAGAAAAGCTTAAGATTTCAGGGCAAATGAGAAGCAGCCTCTTCAAACCAGACCTGAGTCCCCAAGAGAGGCTTCTCACCATCAAGATCTCTTTTCCTAGTGAGGGTGGATATAGCTCAGTGGTAGAGCGCATGCTTAGCATACACAAGGTCCTGGGTTCAATCCCCAGTACTTCCACTAAAAACAAACAAACAAACAAAAATTCCAAAACCCTCTGTTTCCCTTCCCAGCTCTGTGCAGACTTCTGCCTTAGAGCAAAGAATAGGATGAGGAGTAAGAATCTTGCAGATGGGTGGTGCTGTAATTGGGATGGGATGGGATTGGTATGGAGCAGTGGTTTAAGGCAAAGAAAACTCTTTCCATTGGCCCAACTGCCTTAGGAAGTTGATTTCCACTCATCCAAAGGCTGATGTTTTCTCTGTGTTCTGCTTACAGGGAAGCTTCAAATGGAGCTTGGTAAGTGATCGCTCTTCAAACTGTTTCTTCTTGTCCACCTTTTAGCGCCTGGTTATCTGTGTGTGTTCTTCTCACCTCCCAACCAGGTATGATGGCCAGGCTGGGAGCCAGCTGGCTGTGTGTGTGGGTGGCAGGAGCAGGGGTGGGAGTAAGATTTGATGTGTGGGTAGGGAAGCCTGCAGGGACCTGGTGTTCTAATTCTGTTTTTCCTTGGCTGCTCTAGACTGGAGAAGGGCGGAGGGCCAAGCTGGTGAGTAAAGCTCATTTCCTTCCCACTGTCCAATTTATAGCTCAGCATCGCAGTCCCCGGCTCTGCTTTATTCCACAGTTACACACATGTATTAATCTATGTCACTTGGGATAGCTTATATTTATTTTTAAATACATATTTGTATTTATTTTTATGTATTTTTATTTTTAAAGGTTTACTTTTCTATTTATTTATTTTGTCCTGAGGTATAAGCATACAGTAAATCACTGCTGCCCATCCTGGTTGCACATCAGATCCCACGCTCAAAGACTGTCTCTCATGGTTCTGGAGTAGGCATGTCACTTTATATGTAAATATTTCTCCTTGGACCTTCTTCTATTTCCCCCATAAAGCAATCAGTCTAATGTGTATATTTTGTATGTATTCTTGCAAAATGTGAATGTGTTTTGTGCACATGCATTTTAGTGCCTGCAAATGACATTTACAGTCTCACGCTGTTCCTTGCTTTCCTCACTCATCACTGTGTCTTAATATCCATTCCCTGCTGCTGGATGTAGATCTAGTCTGTGTCTCCTTGCAGAGGAAAACTCCGTTTTAGCCAGCCACCCTCCTGGAGTAGACATCCAGCCTGCTTCTAACTCCACACCACCTCAAACAGTGCCGAATGAATAACCTCAAACGTGCTGCTTTCTGGCCCTGTGTGGAGATTTCTCTGGGACGTATACTCAAGAGGGGAGTTGCTGGCCCACAGGGGATGTGTCCTTAAGTGGGATAGAGGGGTCCCCTGAAGGTAGGGCCATCATTCTGCACCAGCTGTGTTTACAGGCTCCATGTGCCCACATCCCTTGTGAGCCAGCTTCCTAAATTCACCAGTCAATGAGAGTAAGTAATGGTTCTTTTGGTCTGCATTTCTCTGGACATTGAAAAGTTGAAGCATCACTTTATATGCTAGCTGGCTTTGGGGTCTTCCTCTTCTGAATATTCGTGTTCTTTGTCTATTTTTCATATGGCATTGCTGTTTTGTTCTTGTTGATTCACCAGCCCTGGAGGAAACTGGTGTCAATGCTGAGGAATAGAGCCATTTGGTTTGCAGGAGGCCCTCATGCAATATTATTATTATCATCATCATCATATAATATGATATATATAAGATATTAATCCCTCATTGGTATTACACTTTGTAAATTCCTTCTTCTATTCTGTCAGCTGCTATTAGCTTTGTCCAATGGTGCCCCTTATTAAAAAATAATTAAATTTGGTGCGGGGGGTATAGCTCAGTGGTAAAGTGCATGCTTAGCATGCACAAGGTCCTGGGTTCAAACCTCAGTACCTCTATTTAGATAGATACATAGATAGATAAAAATAAACCTAATTACTTATGCCCCTAAAAAAAGCCTAAAAAATTAAAATAAAAAATTTAAAACAGTTTAAAATACTAATTAATTTTGAGAAAGTTGAATTAATCACATTTTTACCTTATGGCTTATGTTTTTGAAGTTTTGTTGGAAGCAGATCTTCCTCACACTTAGGTCACAAAAATATTCTCTTAAATTTTCTCCGATTCACTTTATATACATTATGCGTAGGTTTTTAGTTGATCTAAAATTCACCATTTTATATGCTGTTAGGTGAGAATCTAGTAATTTTTCTTTAAATATAGGGTCAGTTTTCTCAGTGCCACCTACTACCCACTTGTGATCTTCCCACTGGTGTGGGCACCACCTTCAGTGCATTTCAATGCACTAAATTCAATTCAGTTGCTGTGTCTTGTTGAGTCCGTCTTTTGGCCACCTGTTACTTCATTGTTTTTACTTCTGTGGCTTTTAAAGGACCTAAAAGTACAAGTTCTCCTCCATTTCCCCTTCCTTTTTTTGAAGTTAATGGATCTTTTTAAAATATAACCTTAAGGATAAATGCATGAAGTTCCTTAAAAAAAAAAATCCAAAAGTAGTTTTACATGGGTTGCTCTCAATTTATAGCGATATTTAGGGAGAACTGACATCTTTATAGAATTGAGTTATTCTATGCAAGAACTGTATATTTTAAAAGTTCTACTGGTTATTCTGATGCAAAAATCAGGGTTGAAAGGCCTTGCTGTAAATTGATGGGGCTCTGAAAATGTCTTCCATTGCTTTTGCATTTTATGACTTTGGTAATCTCTTTGTTGTAAAATACAAGATAAAACAGAAATCCACACAGGATGGCTCATGTTAAGAAAAAAGGCAAGATAAGATATTTGGGGGGCATCTTTAGAGAGGAGCCAGGCTCAGCTGGAGCCTCCTGGGGACTGAGCCAGGCAGAGATTGAGGCTTCATTTCCATCCTTCAAAGGCACCCCACAATTGCTTGTATTGGTATTTGCCTAGGTGCTCTTTCGCCCCACCCCCACCCCCCACCATTCCCAGCACAACTCAGCCTGCACACAGCTTTGGTATAACCCAGCACTGATACCAGCCCCCTACCCGATCCCACATTCCTGGGGAGATGCCGTGGTGGACCCAGACCAGTCCGGATCCAAACCAGCTATCATGGTGGGAACGAGCTTATTTGGGTTGTAGGCGTCCATCATGCATCTTGAGCCCCGCTCAGGGTTCCAGAGTTACTGACTCAGATCTCTGAGCCTCTTTTTCCTCTCTGTTTGGTTTCAGAGTGGAGAGCAGCCCAACAACATGCAGGTAACTGAAGCCAAGGAACTGAATCTTAATCAGAAGAGAGGTGTCAAGATCTGAGATTAGAGGACGGGTCTGTCCAGGGGCCGTGTATGGGGCGTGCACACACAGACACACAAGCCCACTCGCACACACACACACACGACGTGACACATATGCCTGCACACGTACATGCTCGTATGCACTCATGGGATTGCACTCACACAGGCACACGTTTGTGTGCACACACATGCCCCCACATGCACATCGCCTTCTGGGTTTTCCTAGGTCTGTTTCCATCAGGCAGATAGGCTGCTACTAAGGGCGTGTTTGCAGGAGAGAATACAGAGTTTATAAGGAAACTCCCAGGTCATCTGACCGAGGGGTCCTCTGGTTATCATCCACTATATGGGGGTGCTTTTCAAGGGGGTGGAGTGTTGCAGTGCAAAGTACTGGACTAGATGATCTCAGAGGTCCCCTTCAGTTTTAAAGTCCTAAAATTGCTGTAAAACCGAGGCCCAGAGCTCACCGTTACCGAGAACAGAACCAGCTCTGAGCTCCTTGCCGTTGACGAGCCCTTGAGGAAAGTGAGCTCGCCTCCATCGCCACAAACCTACCCCCCTGGCCATCCCTGCTTTGCGTGGCACCACGGAATTCAGGAACCTTCCAGTTCAGTAAAGAAATGGGATTCCTCTCATCTGTTTCAAAAGCTAGGGAGTGACTCACATGCCCCTTCAGTCCCGGGGTGGTGGGAGGAGGGGCTTCGGGAGAGGAGGTGACTATTCCATCCATGCTCCATCGGGAGAACTCGAGTTTTGCCTGTCGGCGGAAAGGGGATGGGCTTGGGGGTGGGGGTGGGGGCACTAACCAACCCTGTGCCTCTGCGCAGTGGACGTGACCCTGGATCCTGGCTCCGCCCACCCCAGCCTGGAGGTCTCAGAGGATGGCAAGAGCGTGTCCTCCCGCAGGACGGCG